ATTTTCAGTTTCCAATTTTTTTCGTTTTTTATTCTATAAATATCAATAAAATGTTATTTATTGGGTAAAAAAACTTGACAATTAAATAGAGGGCTCCTAATATATTATTTCAAAGACAGATGGAAAATATTAAAAATCCAAAGCCACAGTTTTTTGTTATAAGCATTTAAAGTTCAAATATTGACAAAATACGTAAAAAGAAATTCATAAAATATTTTCTTTTTAAACCTATAAGATTTGAATACAAGATTATTAATAAGTTTGTCTATCTTAATCAACAAAAAAAAATGTCTACAAGAAACTCAAATTAAATTTTTATGAGTGTTTGAAATTCATAAAAATGTTTCACAACATTTGATAATCACTCGATTTCTCATGTCAAGATTTTGTTATTTTGTTGTAATTCAAAAACGAATAATTGTAGATACATGAAAATTTCACTGAATGTTGATATTTTCATTTTCTATGAACTATACAATTTTGAAAATATTTTGATTCTTTTTGAGCTGTTAACGGACATTGTCGGTTATAATATTTTTAGTTTTTTTTCTATAAAATATCAATAAAATTTTATTTGTTCGGTAAAAAATCGTTAAAATTTAATACAAGGTTCCTGATTTCTACAATAGCAGTTTATAAGCATTTATAGTTCGAGTTTTGACAAAGTTTATCAAATTAAAAATGTTAAAAATATATTTCAGTTAAAAATTTATAAAATGGTCATTTTTATAGCTAATAGGATTAAAAATTTAAGACAAGGTTCCTCGTAATTCGTAAATGTATTTATTTTTTTGTGTCTGTCATCACCTTTTAGGACAGTAAAAATGCTTAGATTTTCTTCAACAGTATCTTTTCTGATAGGAAAGTGAATCTAGTTGGTACTTAGGGGTGGTCAAAAGTTAAAATTTCCCAGTAGTTTTCAAAAGCGCCTTGAATAACAAAAAAAAAAATGAAGGAAAAACGGGAATTTTTAAGCAAAGTCAATGTAAGTCAATGTTTTACTTGATCGATTTTGGTTTCTGGTGTAACTCTAAAACAAATGACCGCAGATACATGAAAATTTTACTGAATATTTATATTAGCACTTTAGCATTTTCTATACACCATACCATTTTCAAAACATTTTGACTTATTTTGAGCTGTTTACGGACATTTTCAGTTTCCATATTGTTTAGTTTTTTTTTTTCTATAAACATCAATACAATTTTATTTGTTGGTTGAAAAAACTTAAAAAGTTTAAAAATACGCTCACAATTTTTTTTTTTATAAGTATTTAAAGTTCAAATATTGACAAAATACTTAAAAATGACAAAATTTGCAAATTATTTTGAGTTAGAAATTCATAAAATTTTTTTTTTTTAATCTAAGATTTGAAAATGTAATACAAGATTATTCATAAGTTTGTCTATTATCTTTATCAAAAAAAAATGTCTTCAAGCAAATCAAATTAAATTTTTATGAGCGTTTGAAGTTCATATTTTTACAATATTGGATATTAACTCAATTTTTCATGAAGCGATTTTGTTATTTGGTTGATTTATTCAAAAACGAATAACTGTAGATACATAAAAATTATACTGAATGTTTATATTTTCATTTTCTATACATCATACCATTTTCAAAACATTTTGACATATTTTGAGCTGTTTAAGTTTTCAGTTTCCATATTGTTTAGTTTTTTTTCTATAAATATCAATAAAATTTTATTTGTTGGGTAAAAAAGCGTGAAAATGTAATGCAAGGCTCCTGATATATTATTACAATATCAGTTGAAAAAAGTTGAAAATACATAAAATACATACCTAAATAATTTTTTTATAAGCATTTAAAGTTCGAATTTTGACAAAATGTAATAATTATTTTGTAGTTAAAAATGTGTAAAATGTTCAACTTTTATAGCTAAGAATTACAAATTTAAAACAAGGTTCCATGTAAATATATTATAGGTACATATTATATAAATTACTTTATTCACAATAACATCATCGAATATACTTAGTAATATCATAGGCTGACTAACCGTTTTCGCTCAAAATCGTTTTTCTTATACAATGATATTATATCATTGAATTCAAATTTAATACCTTCCATTATACAGTGACCCACTTGAAACTAAATGTACAGTAGAGCGACATCCACTTGCCCTTTTTTACCACTTACCACACAACCTTTTTTTACATGCATTTAAATTTCAAATTTCAAAAATATTCAAACTATCTTTCAGTTAAAATTCATAAAAGTTTTTCCTTTCATAGCTAACAATAGAAATGTTGATAGAAGTCAGAAGACTCCCCCAAATGACTCCCCTACCAAAGGGGCTCCAGCGTATCATGTTGTAAGGAGTAATATTTAGGCAATTCAGTATATTCAATTAAATAAACAGTTGGGCATGTCTATGTGTAACCTACTGAGTAGTAAATAAAAATTAGTTTGTGTTGAGAATCGCTGTAAGACCGCGTCGAGCAACCGCCGCCGGATGCAACTCTCGCACTATATAGCACGCATATGTCAAAACATCGTGAAAAATTAATGTATTCTTGTTTGCATTACTATAAAAACTACTAAAAGCGATAGTAAATTAAACATACTTCCTCAAGTTCGATTGTAAATTTTGAAAAATGGTTGAATTTATAAGCTTCTATACTATATGCTCTTTAGGAATCACTTTTTTGATTCAATATCAGATGTGCCCAGAATAAATACAATATACAAATGTAAAGCAATTATTCATGGGACTTTTGAAAAAAAAATACTAATTTTAAAGTTTTTTGAAAATTGGCTTCCTAAAAAGCCTAGATATTTTGTCAAAGAGATCATAAATGTATAAAAAATCTGATATTCCGAAGTATGTGCAATTTACCATCGCTTATTTGTCTAAAACGTATGAAAAATACGTGAGCTGCGATCCCCTAAACAAAAATAAAAGTTTAGCCTAGAGTAATATTAATTTTTTTATAAACGTTTGAATTTTTTTACGATATTGGATTTTCATCTGTAAATTAATGAATTTTCATGTATCAATTGATATTTTGTTGTAATTCAAAAACAAATAATCCTAGATACTTGAAATTCTCACTAAAATAAATGTTAAAATTACCATCAAACAATTTTAACTCTTTTTGAGCTATTTGTAGTCATAAGAGACATTTTTAAAATTATTTTCTGTTAAAAATTCATAAAAGTTTTTCTTTTCATAGCTAAGATTACAAATTTTAATAGAAGATTTCTCATAAGTTCTTCTACCTATATAAAAAAAAAGAATACTTAAACGGAATATTAGTTTTTTATGAGCGTTTGAACTTTGAACTTATAACATTTACTAGATATCCAGCGGTAAATGAATGAATTCTCATTAATCGATTTTTGAGTTTTTTTATATTTCCAAAATGAAAACTGTAGACTCTTGAAATGTTCACTAAATATTTATATTAGCATTTATTATACATGGTAGAATTTTCAAACAATTTTGACTCTTTATGAACTTTTTATACCCATGAGAAAATTTTTCGTGTTTTATAAAGTATTTTTCAGTTAGAAATTCATTTAAGTTTTTCTATTTATAGATAACATTATAAATTTTAATAGTAGGTTTCCAACAAGTTTTACCATCTCTATAAAAAAAAAGAGTTCACTGGAAAATTACGCTATTTATTGCCATGATATATTTTCGATTATAATTAATATTTTTTAATTATTAAATTTGATTATTTATACAAGTATACTAGGCTGACACAACGTCTCCACTCAGAATCGTTTTTCTTATACAATAATTTATCATTGAATTCCAATATAACACATCTATTACAACGACATGCTTCACAATTACTGATTAGCTGAGCAGTTTCCATTTTTCCACCTATTTAGATTCTGAGCGAAGCGAAAGAATTTATTGATTTTACTATGATGTGTTTCTTTTTTAATTTTTAATTTTTTTTTATAAATGTTGATACCATTTTTTTCGCTTGGTTAAAAAGCTTTAAAATGTATTACAAGGCTCCTAATAAGGTGTTTTATTAGCAGTTGAAAAATATTAAAGGTAAGCAAAATTTTTTTTATGATAGTTTAAATTTAAAATATTTACAAGTCATAAATATATTAATTATTTTCTAGTTACCAAATAACAATTTATAAAATGTAAAATTTTTATAGCTAATGATTGATAATTTAAAACAAAGTATCTCATAAGAAATTCATATTGTAAATCTACTGTATTACTATAGATGCAAATAGCGTTTGAGATTTTTTTGGGGTGGGGAGGTCTAAAACTACTTTTATACTATTGAATGAGCTTAAAACAACATTTAGTAAATGTTTGGGTGGGGACTATGGACGTTTTTGGGGGTCGAGACTCTAATATCATCTCTATTTACTAATATCTAATATCATATTGTTCCTTAGTAATATGGGCGTCTTCACTAAAAATAATGTTTGGTTTACAATGATTTTATATCATCGAATTCAAATTTAACACATCCATTGTCACACTATTACATAATTAGTTAATATAATGTGATGAACCACTAAATAGGTAATTTTTAATCATGATTCAAATTTTGTTACACTTGATGTTATCAGTTGCTATAGACGCCTATAGTGACATTGTTTGCTTTTATTATGAACACAATAATATATAATTATAATTTATCTAGAGAAATACCTATTATAATACCATTGATTAAATATATATATTAATATATTATTATGTATATTTAATCAATATTAATACCTATTTTATTTAAAAATAAATGGTCAACTTTTAGTTTACTGAATTTGTAAAAATAAACATCAATTCATATTAAGGTAGGTAAACTATTTATTTGTGGTTTTAAATGACATTATATTGGATATCAAAAATGGTTTTAGTGTTTAATAAAAATTAATTTAATTGCTTTTCATTATATGTTTGTTTATTTTTGTTTTTAATCATAAGTTCAAAGTTCAATTTACATTATTTTTCAAGTTTTAAAAAAATTATAAAATTAATTGGTTTAGGTAATTCCATGGCGACTTCTGTAAGGGGTAGAATCAAATTAGTAGAGACAATAGATGCTGACTCCCAAATTAATACTATAACTGTTGTAACATCAGGTAGAGTTGGTCAGACTCATGTTATACAATCAGTAAAACACACTTCCGTGAAGCATACATCTATTAATCCGGTACTTCATAGTTCATTACCTAATATAGTTTTATGTATAATATTATATATATATTTAAATCTTCTTGTTTTCAGAAACTGAATAATAATAAACAACATGCACATGCTAAACTGTGTGGAACTAGTCCAGTTCATGATGATAGATCTAATAAATCAACGGATGATGATGAACATCACCTAGATCATAAAGATAGGAATTCTTCTACAGTTACTGTTGATAATGGTCATTATATTGTTGCAGAATCAGGTAAGTTCCTCAAAATGTCCATTATTATATTTATATAATTTAAGAAATAATGAAGAAGTTTTTGGTATAACAAAAACAGATTTTATTCAAATAAAATTAAAATATTTATCTTGTTTCTGTCAAATATTAGTTCTCCATTTGTCATATAAAATTATAAAATGCATTTTATCATATATCGTAATTATTAAATTGCAATTAAGAAGGGACTCATAGAAGATCTTATACTTCCCTTACACCAGTACCCATTGGGTAAGACTCAATGTCACATTTATTTTATTTTTCATTCCAAACTTTTTGAGTTAAAATTCTCTAGTATATTATTTCAAAATTTGAATCTATTTAATTTTATTTATAAAAGACTCTGTTGTAGTATTTTTATGTGTTAATATTCATGATATTACCTAGTATAATTTTATGTGGAATCTTTTTGGTGCCTTTGTTATTTTAGCTTGAATTCTTAAAATTATTCTGTAAAACTTATATCACATCAGTGTATTGTTTGTATAGGTATTATAAGCCAACCAACATGTCATGCACAGAATAAAGCTAAAGGAACAAATATAATACAACAGAATATAGACAATGATCATAATATTATTGTCACCGCTCAAACAGACAGACTAAAATCCGTTATATATTCGGTATAATAGTTATGCATTTATTATGATAATAATGTGCCTCAATGTATTTTGTTTTATACATTGCTTAAATTGTTATAAATTCAATATAAAATAAAATGATAAAAAATCAATATTTTATTTTTATATTTAGGATGTGTCATATCATACAGTTAACGCCACTGAGTCTGGTATAACAAACATAAATCATCTGAATAGTATCGAGGAGTCAAATAGAGGAATGCAAAACTCCGGTCTTATCCAACCAAATAAAATTTCTCCTGCAACTGTAAGCAGTTGATAAAATTTATATGGAATAATAAATAACTCAATGATATATTATTATGAAGGTCGAATGGCTGATGGATAATTATGAAAAGGCTGAAGGAGTGTCGTTACTTCGATCAACAATATATGATAATTATTTAACACATTGCTCGGAAACTAAATTGGATCCTTTAAATGCCCCATCATTTGGTAAACTTATCCGATCTGTGTTTACAGGATTGCAAACAAGACGTCTAGGAACTCGGTAAGGTGCTATTTTTTAAGTACATTATGTGGCTTATTTTACTAACAGTTTTTTTTATTTATTAGAGGAAATTCCAAATACCATTATTATGGTATTAGAATTAAACCTAATTCATTATTAAATGACTTTAAAGAAGAAGAAAGCCTACCGGTCGAAACAACAAGTCAAAGTAGTACAAAAAAAATTAAAAAAATTAAAACTGAAAAGCAAAATTGCAATCAATATACCACCAACAGTTCAGATTCTGGTAATTATTCTCAAAACAGTATTCCATCTTCTCCTCAAGCACAAGATCAAGCATATTTAGGTGATGGCGCTAATGCTGTGCCACAATTTCCTGATATTATATTGGATGAAATACAATTGGATGATAATTGTACTCTAGAAGATGTAGATACTTTCAAACATTTGTACCGTGAACATTATAAAGTACTTAAATGTTTTTAATTGAAATTCATTTATCTGTGTTTAAATAATATTGCTTTTGTAGGCGTTTTTAAGTGCCGTAATGAACTTAGAATTTGGCTCTATTGAGTCACTTTGGCGTCAATTTTGGTGTAATCAAGATGATAAAAATGATGAATATGAAGGAGAACAATATTTGTCTAAAGTAAAATTATATTCATTGTCAAAGTGCAAAACATTACAACTGTTTGTGAAAACTGTTGATTTTCTATTTTATCAAAACTTAGTTAAAGTTTTAATTCCAGATGTTCTTCGGCCTGTTCCTAGTATGTATATTTTATATATTTGTTTTTAAAGATATAACAATAAATTAATAAATTATGTGTAGGAACATTAACTGAAGCAATTAGAAATTTGTCCAAAAGCCTAGAGTCATGGCTTTTATCTGCAATGCATGGGTTTCCAGAAGAAATGATCTCAATAAAAGTTATTATAATTTTAGTATTTTGAATTTTCATTTAAACAATTATCGTTATTGTTATTATAATTTATAATTTTAGGTGGCTGCTGTTAGAGCCTTTGCACAAACTTTACGCAGATGCACTTCTGCAAGAGCTGTGCTTCAAAATTATACCAAAATAAATCAAATACTTACTGATTTGAATTGTGTGGACTTCCATTTTGAACAAGAACAAGTAAGATATTTTTAAATTTTTATATTCCTTAATTTATAAATTATATATATTTCAATGTTCATTTGCATTTTTTTTTATACTCTAGGTTCAACAAATAAATAATTTGGGAAATGATAATGATGCGATTCATACTAAGAAGAGGGTTAATAGTAAAATAAATGCGGGCTCTGAAATGCTTTCGGATTGTAACGAACCACCAAAAAGAACAAAAACTCACAATTGTTAGTATCTTACCTATTTGTATGGATAATGTGAATTGATAATATTTCATTTTTAGATTCTGTCAGTACTTCCACAGATCCAGAACGTTTTAATGTTTTGTAAGTATATAATAATAAAGCAAAATTTGGGTTATAAATTTAGTTGAATTAGCAAATTATTTTAAGTAAGCTGACAAAACACTGTTAAGAGTATATCAAATTAAAAGATTATTTTAGACCAAGTTATTCGTTGCATAGATAATTTATATATCAGGCACGGTGATATACGATATTTATTTGGAGGGGAGGGATATTTGTATTATGAACATAGAATATATCAAATACGATAGATCTTATGTATAATAATTACCACTTTTTTTTTTGTTTACTTGACGCTTTCTAAAACTACTTGGAATTATCAATTCTTACCTCCCAAAAGTATAAACTAGATTCACTTATCTATCAGATAATAATGCTGATCTCAAAAATCTGAATATTTTTATTATCCAAAATGTTGTTAACAGACAAAAAAGAAAAATCATCAATGTAAAATCTATACATTATTTCATTCCGTTCAGAATCTAATATAAATTACTTAATTATTTTTCTTGTAGATTAAAAAGTCCATCAAAAGAATCCAAGAAAAAGAAATCTAAGGTACTGACTGTTTTATTTATTTGACTTAATAGAAATATTTGTATTTGCTGTTAGTTAGACTTTGAAGTTGTTGCTATTTCTATAGAAGAAACAAACCTCCTGACATTCTATATCAAATTGTTTTAGATGGCAATAGAAGAAACTGAGTCGTCAAAAGATGACATGGATGAGGAAACACATAGCAATGATCATGTTGGTGATGACAATGAAAATAATTTTGTTTTCACTACTCAGGACGATTACAATTCAGAATATCCTACTATGACTGACACTGGACGGTTTTCTTGTCGATTTTGTGATAGAGAATTTACCAACGCCAATAGTTTATCCAGACATGAAAATTTTCACACTGGAAGAGCTCCGCTCGAGTGTGATGTTTGCTTTAAAACGTTTATCAGCAAATCTATATTGTGTATACATAAAAGATCGCATACCGGGGTGAAACCATATTCGTGTGTTATTTGTGGACGATCTTTTACGCAAAAATCAAATTTGGTTTTACATTATAGAAGGCACACAGGTCAAAAACCGTACGAGTATGGTCGGTATGAAAAAAATTTCTCATCAACCAGTGGTGGAGCAGAACATACACGAATATGTCATCCATAAAACTTATCATCAAACCTAGGTTGATTGCCGTTCTCGTTAATGATGTCATTATGAATATTTATTTTTCCTGATAAAAACAGAATCTTAATTTGTTAAGAGTTATATTATTACTGAATGCTAAAACTTTATTTAATTACTTATCAATCTTTTCTTAAAAAATTATAAATTGTTTACTTGAAAATACTTATTGTTCGTTAAAAAAAAATAAAAGAAACAAAATATTAAAGAAGAATTTGTTCTTAACCAGGGCTCAGAAGTTAATAATATGCATTTTAAAAGTTTATATAATATGTTCTAAAAATTGGGGAAAATGTGAAATATATAATTTTAAAAAACTTACATTTTTTTCAAAAGAGTTGTGTTTTTTGCAAAGAGTAAAAATTTTCCTTAATTTGTTTCATTTTTTAGATACTGAGTTAAGCGATGTATGTATGATCAATTTGTCATTTTTGTTTCTGTATACATAATGTCACAATGCAGAGCAGAAAAAAATATCTCAATATTCAACTTAAACGATCGTTTATAATGTAATATTATTATTTATTTACATACTCATATAACTTGTTTAAAAATTAAACACCCAATCCCTTAACCATAAACCCAAACTTGCAATGCATTATGCAATTTTTTTAATTTGTAGATTAATTAAGCCTTTTATATTATGAATCTATTGAAATTGTTATTGGTACCTTTTTATTTTAGAACATCTAGTAATAACTAATATTAGGTACCAATAAATGCAATTAATTTTGGAAAAATTAGATAAACCTACCGTTATATCAAATGTCAATAGAAATAGTAATAAGTAATCACTACAATAGTATATAATATTTTAATAGTATTGACATTTTAATTAATAGTAAACATGATAATAAAAAATAAATATATAATAAAATAACCTATTAAAGGTTTAGAAATAAATGATGATGTACTGGTCTTCACTCAGAATCATTTTTTATGTGATTGCTTTTACCAATTAAGTTCAACAAATTTAACTTACCTATCCATATTGCAGTGACCTACCTGCTGTGACTGTGACACTATGACGCGAGACGTGAGGTATGTACACTCTGGTGAAATGAGTAGATAATAATATAGAATACATTTGAACAGTGCGTAGCCATGGTGGTCTGGGTGCGGACCCATTAGTCAGTACCCACCCATCTTTGGACTGTATAAAGTAATAATTTCAAAGAATATATTTAATTTAATTTAGAATATGTATATGGATAAACTATCAACTAATGTGAAGGTGTGTACTGTGAAGTATAAATTATAATGCATACCTATTTAGTATATCCCTACACTTATGTCGGTAGCCGGTAGGTTTGGAGGTACCTACCTATATCCTATAAGTATATTATTATGCCCATTTAATAACCATTCCGTTATTGCATAGCGGTCCACAGTCAATATGTCAATATATGGAAACAATTACTCATATAAGTATATAACTAAAAGATATTATTCTTCATAATGTATAAGACCCTGCAGCACAAATCTATGGTTTTTGCCATGGCGTTCCATGGTGCTATCGGTTGTGTTTGAGTCACGTAATGTCTGACCATGAAATGAGGAGTTTTCGCTGCTGACATTTATCATGTTTGTACCCAGGGCCACATTTAGGGTTGGGGAGCTGGGTACAACTGCCCCGGGCACCAGTATTTTAAGGGCACCAAAATGTTGTGGTCCTAAATTTGTTTACTTGTGAATTATTAAAGTTTTATAATTTTAATTATTTTAACAACAGTATTTTATAATGTAATTTAGTGTAATAGTATTTTAGATTCTGAGCGGAGATTTATTTTTTTATTTTTATATCCTGTATACAAAATTTCTACCAGAAGGAGTGCTTTGATTTCAACATATAGTAGGTACCTTATCTTTTAGCAAATTGGACCAAGATGGTACTTTAGAGAGGTCATTTTTCGATTTTCTCAATAGTTATTTAATGCCACGGGAAAAAGTACTGAAAAATTACGAAAAACCGCTTAAAATGGGATTTTAATTTCTAACAATTTGTTTATCACCGTAGCAACGAATAAAAAAAAATAGGTAGGTATTATCTATATAAATATCATGTTTATAGTATTAAAACAACTTACATGTTATAATAATTAATGACAATATAAAATATACAGACTGACAAACCGTCTCCGTTCAGAATCGTTTTTCTTATACAATGATATTATATCATTGAATTCAAGTTTAATACAATCCATTAAAGTCCAGCGGTTCCCAAACTTTTTTTTCCGCGGTGCCCTTTTAGAGGCATCAAGTTAGCCACGGTGCCCTGCTGTATATAACATGAAAGATAGAACAAAAAAAGTACTCATTGAGAACCAATTTTATTAATTTTATTAAACCTAATACAATCTAAGCATTCTAAGCTACACAACTAAATTAATTATAAATTAATGCATTTTTAAAAAGATAAATAAATAAAAATTATTGTTATTATGATTATAATTATTACAATAATCAATCAACAATTATTTGTAATAATTTATTACCCATAAAATCATATCTAGTAATAATATTATACTGATAAATATACCAAACCCAGTAATTGGGCATATGGTTTTTATATACATTTTAAACTTATGAAACGTAGACCGCGGTGCCCCCAGAAAGTGCTCGCGGTGCCCCTAGGGTATATGATTAAATAAATTAATTAATGATTAAACAATGACCAACTTGTATCCTACTGTACAGCTGAGCGACATCCACTTACCTGCCTTTTTTTTTTAATTAATATTAATTTGCATAGTCTTATATAATTTTATTTTATTTATTCATGAAGTACCTACCTACTTAAATATGTTAAAAAAAACCACTTAAATGATGAATTATAGCAAGGATATTAATTCAAAAGTATCTTTGCGGAGAGAGGATCAAACAATTACTAAACAATATTTTTAAAAAAAGCACACATTGTAAAACAAATATTCGTTTCTGTGCTCGAAATCTGAAAGGTTAATGAGGATCTCAATTTTTTATAATATAATCCATTTATTATTTGATTACAGAAGTGTGTACCCAATGTTGTTGTTTATATTATTTTATTTTACTCGATAATATAATAAAATACCTAGTTGATTTAATTGTTATTGTTTTATATTAAGTACAAGTGTACAACTTAAGTTGAATACCTACAATTTGTGTTCATAAATTCTTAAATATGTTTTCCTGTGTAATTTCTTATTGTTTATTTTAAGAGGACGCTACCCATGCATTTATTGCCTCCGTCTCACACACTCACGACATAGCAAACTTCCGTTCACTAGTTTCAATAGTGTGTAATAGTGTTAATATTAGAGGGATTTGACCTATTATCATACTTTTATGTGCTTAAGCGTTGGCGATTTGTCATTTTCAAGTGAGATATGTGTATGTGAAAATGTGAAATATCAAAAATTAAAAATGCTCATATCTCGCTTGAAATTAAAATATCGAATAAAACCAACGCTTAAGTAGTAAGCACTAAGCACAGATAATGTTATTATCTAAAAATGTTATAATAGGTCAATTCACTCTAATATAAAAAACGAATGAACTAAAACTTGCCATGTCGTAAGTGTGTAAGACGGAGACAACAAATGCTTGTCTGCTTTTTGAGTAGCGTCCTCTAAATATTCACTTAATTTGCTCCAAGTTCATACGATCAATGAAAACTTATATTTTTTTCCGAAGGGGGCGGGATATTTAAAAAAGCTCAGGACCGCATAGTTGCTCAAAATCCAGCCCTACGCTCGTTATGTTACTGTAGTCTGTGGGTAGGTCAGTCCTGTAAAGAATACTTTTGAAAAGTACTTGAGTAAGTACTCAAATACATTTCTTTTAAAGTATTTAAGATACTACTCAAATACTTTAATTGTATAGTATTTCAAATACTACTCAAATACTTTGAAAAAGTATTTGGAATACTTTTCAAATACTTTTGGTTTTTAAAGTGGGTTTCTAATTATTGTAATATAGACACATAGGTAATAAATTTATAATCATTTTTATTTATTATTTATTAAATAAATGTTTATTACATTTTTTTTTTTTATTTTTACATGCAATTTACAATCTGTTCTTAACTAGAACAATAAGCAAATGTGCATAGGGTATTTGCGTATGATTTATTTTGAGGGAAGAAACCACCCATTGGTGATACTACCTATTTTGTGTTCTTAATTTATTCTAAAATTTCTAAAATTATTTCGAATAAAAATAAAATGTTCGAAATAAAAAACCAAAGTATTCAATACCAAAAAGTATTTAATAAAAAAAAAAGTATTTAAAATACCATTCAAAATACTTCATGCTGAAAGTATTTAAAAAGTTATTCAATACTTAAAAAAGTATTTGAATACTTTTACTCAAATACTTTTACTCAAATACTTTACAGGACTGGGGTAGGTATATTATGAAATGTACATTACGTTCGCCATTTGCTCAGACATCCTTTCTCCTCCAACTACGCAGCGACTCAGCGTTTCTGGGCGCCCAACAGCTGCCTATTCGAGCTTACCTCGGCCGGCGAAGATCGGTTCCTGAAAGCTTACGCCGCCGGTTACCGCGTTAACCGATCTCCTGCGGACCATTGCGTCGTCAAACGAGTTTCGGGACGGTTCGAGCAGCCGCGTCGGTTACGGGCCCGTTCTGCGTCTATTCTGGTCCGGACGGCCCGAGTCATTTCACCGCCGTCACCACCACTGTCCACTGTCACCCAAAATCGGATATGACGACAACATAAACGATTCCGTCAGGGGAGGGCTCAATATTATCGGAGACATAATCGCCTGTCCGTCGGCCGTACAAGGGTCTTCCAAAAAAAACTTATATATCCATCTATTCGTCCCGATATGTCAGTCGCATCGTACAGTGCGAATCGATTAAAAACGCGAGTCGTCTTGCTATTGTGTATAATAAATAAACTTATAAACACCAAATACCTATCCATGGTAATTGCCGTCTTGTCGTTGTAAAGTCTTCGTCGATCAATTGCCATGAACAAATTAAATGGTTGATTCTCACTCTCGCACAGGCACGTAGTTAAGTGGTGGCCTGGGGGGGGATATTTACAGCCTTACAGGCCACCACATTGTATTGTTGAAATACCCAAGGCTCAAATAATTGAGTAAAAAAAGTTAAACCTTATTCAAAAATGTGTATATCATGATATTTGTTTTATTACCTACATATAATTATCTTTAATGCTGTGTTCTCAAACGACGATTACAAATATGAATACCTATACCTAACAAGTTGTAATTCATCGCCTATGATAAAATTCGATTTTCAAACAGCATGATCTGATTGCCAAATGCTAGAACTCAAAATAGTAATCGTAAATAGTATTTGAAGGTGTGGTGGCGTAGCATGCAACCCTTTTAATACTGTGTAGAAATAGTTATGCCTATCATGGGTATATCAATCCAACTGTTAGGGTCACTTAGAGAAGTGACTGGAGAGGTCACTGAGTTAGTCCCCTTCGGTCCTTCTACTAGCACCTAAAACTTACTTTTAAGGGAGGAGGAGTGGACACGCATGGGTTATTTACTAAAAAATGGTCTGCCATCATCTGTCATAAAGTGAGACTCCAACATTTCACCTTAATAGCAATAAGCAAAGTTTTTTTATGTCAGTGAATTCGATCATTTAAAAATTAAAAATTAAAATTCTGTTAACCCTAATTTTGTTATTATTTATAATTTGTATTACAACCTACAGTTCCCCCCCTACAGTACCACAGGCTAATGACCTATGTTGTCGAAGCCTCAACCCTCAAAAAAAAAAAAAATAATTTGTATTAGTTGACAATGTAAAATAATGCGTTAATTAATCCTGTATGTTGGAATCGTACCTATGAGTATTGAGTATATTATATTATAATTTCTTACCTGGTTGATGTTGCTTGACTTGAACAATGATAGAATTTAAAAAGAGAGTATTGACGATGTTAGTTTTCTTGAAATAATGTAAGTACAATTTTGGTTTGAAATAAAAGTTATTTTAATAATTCACAACAAGATAATATTATATGATTTGAATGAGTACGTTAAGTTAATAATCGCTTTATAATTTTGGTGGCGAAATAAGACGGTGCGTGTGATACTGTGCTGCTGAGATCCGGCTCAGCTGATGGGAGCAGACTGATTTGAATATCGAAAAGGGGGTTAGGTCTACTTATAGTATTGACCTCTGATACCTTGTTGTTCCGTATTAAATTGTTGTTGTTTATTTTGTATAAGTACATGGGTATAATCAAAATATGTTTTTGTAAGAATAGGGACATTTGTACATATGTATATATATATATATATGGTTATTACTTATTGATAGTTTTTTGTACATTTTGAATTATATCAGGGTACATGGGTACATATATTTATTATGTTTTGATAGTGTTTATTGGATATTGTATAGTGATTTGATTTCATAATGAGTATGACTGTTGTTGTTGTCAGTGGCGTACGCAGGGGTAGGGTTCTGACCCCCCCTGAAATGTCTGCCTTTTACAAGAAAATCTTATTTACCACCATTTCAATACACAGAGTTGATCAATGGTATGTCATTTTTAATAGATATAAAATAAATTGTTAAATATGACAATCGACAAAGACGTAGGTAATCATGGTTTCAGTTTTTTTTTTTTTTGCTAATTTAGAACATTATTAAACGTCTGCCATAATCGTCGTATTTTGTATCATCATCCATCGATTTTTACCACGTTTATTACGACCCGAAGAGGCTCTATAGATGACCAGGTGTGTCCAGGTTAAACACTTGAGTGTTCTAAATGTAGACTAAATTTGAGACTAACTATAATTTGTTATAGCCAATTATAATATAAAAACGGTTTAGCAATAAATAATGTAAATTATTTACTCAGGTAAGACCCTAACAGAACTAAAATCCTGCGTACGCTACTGGTTGTTGTGTATAATTTTGGGTAACATAATGGGTACATGGGTACAGATAGTTATTGTGGTTTTTTGTAATGAAACATTTAATAGTGTTATGATGATATTGAGTCATGAAACTGTGTTGGTGCAATGACGTAGATATCATTACAAAACCCATATTTTGAAGATGGAAAAAAATCTTCATCGGGTCATCACACTGGGACACTGGGTGCGCATATTATACTAGTTACCTCATCCATTTCAGAAACACTCTGTATTTATAGAATTTTATTCTCAGTTTTCAGTTTTCACCACGAATTAAGATAATATACGCGTATAGGCCATATGGTTATCTTAATTCGTGGTTCTCAGTTTCTCGTGTCGTATGTTAGTAATAAATAATAATCATTAATTAGTCCACGTCTCCTGTCTATGGGCCCCAGTGCAAGACTACTGGCGCTAATCAAATGTACGTGTCTGCGTAGTGCGTACTGCCATTACTGCGTAGTAGCGCACTACACAACCAGGGGTTGACTCTGATCCCTGTGGGCGGGATGGAGGGCTATCGCTTTAATCTCTTTCCAGTTTCCAGTGATTTCTATGACGTTATGTCGAGAGTCGAGATCTCGTTAAAATCTATTCCTCGTTTGTATTTATGTAATAATCTATTATAGCATAATATTTGACCGTATTTATTATCGAGTTCTTCGTGTTGTGGCTACATAGTTTTTGTGTCTTAGTACTCTCAGTACTCTGCATAAGTCCCAAGTCCCTGCGATGTGATACCGTAACGCGCTGTTAGTAATGACATCATCTACCAATGCGATTGTCGTTTCGTAGACCGTTTTTAAAACGTATCGAAATGTTGATGTAATTGCTCATTCGACAGCCATGAACTACTGTTTTATTTTGTTGATAGCAATACTAGGTCATCAGCCAGGCAAGAATGTTAAATATCATACCTATACCTAAATCCTATTCACTTGAATATTTTCTCAACTTACATTTGTTACTACAGGCAATGTCAAGACCGACTGTATAGATAACAATGGCCGACCTGTTCTGGACGGAAAGTCGTACATACCGGGCCCGGAAATCTGTACTCGGTGTGTGTGTGACAATTCTGTTGCTAAATGGTGTCACCCTGTGCTTTGTACAGCTCCACAGGTACTTTTTACTTTTTTAACTTATAAGTTATACCTAGTAATTTGTAATTTTTTAAATGATTACTCAAAAACTATTTTTTTGAGACTGAGATTAATACTATACCAGATTATCTGATTATTATTTATTGTGTGTTACAAATTATAATTAGTTAAATGTCGCACAAATAATTAAAACAATTTTATTTAACTTTAGGATTGCAAGTCTTATACAACTGTTGGAAATATATGCTGTGAATTCAATTGCTTAGACGAAACTCTTAAAGGCGATAATATTAATGCCAGATCAATTGCCAGCACTGTAACGGCATTTTTATTTTTCATATTAATTGTTTTCCTCATCAACCGGTTACATAAAAGAAATATAATGTCAAGTAAGAGTACATTTGTAATATTTGAATTTTAACATTGACATTTTTATTTTAATATGCTTAACTTTTTCTAAAACCTTAAATTGATTTAATTAATAATATAATTTTTGTACCAAATTAATGTTCGAGATGCATGCCATTTCTTACAATGTTTTGCCTATAATTAATGTTGGATATTTGTTTATTATTCAGTAAAAATAAATTAAAATTTTTAAGGAAGTGTACCGAAGAATTGTGAATGAACTAGGTACTGAAAAAGTTGTTTTCAAATCTAGAGCTATAACTTATTAGTTAGATATTACATAATATTATGTATAATATACTCTGTTCCAAAAGAGAATATACTGGGTGGTGACCGGTTTTTGTCTGGTGGTGCACATCTCTTACATAATGACATGGGTAACCACTTCCGGAAGGAGCAAATCGAGGAGCAAATAATACACTGAACTGGTATTCTCTTTTGAAACAGAGTTTGTAGTGTATAACCTTCATAGTTGTATGCGATCATTTAAATCGTACAAAAATTAACTTACTGTAGTTACCTTAAAAAATGAGACCTCTGTATGTTTTAAAACAAATTGTATTAAAATATAGATGGAGAAGTATTTACTGATCCAAACTCACTTCAAATGGGTGAAGGTGTACGTGGAATTGGGTTCATTAGTGGCTACATGAATTTACCTAGGCCTGATTTATACTATGGTGATCATGCAACTCTACATATACCCTTATGGAAGACATACTATCCACGTGGTGATGCACCGCCACCATATGATGAAGCTATCGCATTACCTCACCAAATAGTACCCCAACAATTAAATGCACTAGTAGATGAAGTTACAGCTTACCATAGAACTATACCTTTTAACATGACTGAAATTGAACAAAATGTTCAGCCACAGACATTGTGTGACCCCGAGACTGAACCAACTACCAACCAGCAGTTTTTAGAAGACAGTAATAAATTTAAATATTTTATACTTGTTTCTATCACGTACTAAGTAACTGATTATTTCAGATCAAACGAATAATGATAAATACCAGTGCCATGATAAAATACCTACAATTTCTAACGATGATTTCCGAGAAGAATGTGAAAATTGTAAGCACGATCAAGAACTTGCTGAAGGGTATGATGATATTTTCCCTGAACCAGAAACAATGACGCTAGAACGAAGACCACAATTGTTAACTCATGAACACGCTGCAGTTGGTATTGAATCACGTTCGTCAATGACCTTACCAGATAATGGAAGACTACGAAGGTACTTAAATTTATTTTTTATCATTGAGTTACTATTTATACTATAAAAAATTGAAACATTGTAAATTACGTAGGCCTCATGTTGGTAACTTGAAAGATAAATACAGAGACGGCTGGTTCAAAGAAACTAGTTTAAAAGAAAATACAACTTCTGATGATGATCAGCCATAACAGAAAAGAATTATCATTGTTTGGCATAATACTTTATTACTATAGGTAAGTATAAAATTGGTTAAGTACTATGTACTTAGCACCAATTTAATTATTGACTATTATTTGTGTCAGTTTGAAAAAATATTTTTATTTTAAGTAATTAATTAGTACCCAAAATCTTATTTCTTCATGACAAAATATTTCATACATGCATTTTGCATAAAATAATAATACTTATCATAATAAACATATTAGCTTATGATTTATTATAAACATAATATACTTGATTTCAATTTTACCTTATATTGTAATAAGTAATGACTAATAAATGTATCATTTTATAATTTCTTGAATTTCTGTCTTTTAATGCAAACATTTGTTTTTCTCAATGTATTAATATTGATATATACCAAAGATTTATATTTTATAATTTATAAGATCTCAGCTAAATTAATTATTTTATTTTTTTAAATTGTATTAATTATTAGTTGTTTATAGTTTGTATACTTTTCTGTGATAAATAGTTATTTTAGGTGGCTTCTAGTTAAATTGTATTATTGTGCCATATAAGTATGGTATCTTACATTTTACAATATATATTGTAACTTATCCGTACCACAATTTATTCTACAGAATTTAAATAAAATTAGAATAATATTTACTATATCGTTGCCAACATATAAAAAATGTTTAATTGACTTTTAACAGTTTTTGGTAATCTTAAGTATATTAACAATTTTTTCCATAAGGGTACTAATTTCACCTAATGTTTTAATTGATAAATAAATATTTAGTATATTTTAAGATAATTTATTGTAACTTAAGTACCAAAAACTGTAAAAACAAAAATTTACCACTTTTTATATGATTCATCTTGAATTTGTTTAACTAATATAATTTAAATAGTTTAAATTATACATTCTAATCAAGTTGATATTCAAATAATTGTTGTAAGAATTTTCATTGATAGTTAGAACAGTATATTATAAAATATCGTTTTTGTGGAATGGACAATAATATATTGATATTCTTTATTATTTAATGAACAAACAAATAGGTACTACTCATAAGTTGTGCATAATTAAAATTATACAATATTTATTCTACTTATAAATATTTAAATGTAACATTTTTTTTTTATATTGGTTTTAATGTTTACAATTAAAATTATCCCGCTTAGTATTTCTCAACATGAAAATGGTCTCTATTATTTAAATAATCCAGTGTTAAATTTCTATTTTATTGACTATAGTCTATATAGTTCTTCAAAACCTCTTTTTCTTAAATAATAAAGTACTAAATAACTCAGCTAAATATGTGATATTTATGCTATGTAAAATATTCATTCATATTTAAATTTTTGTATTGTTAATATTTATGCCCAGGTAAATCTTAAAAGATAAAATTTTCAGTTATTTTCTCCTTCTTGAGTAATTATTACTGTGTTCTTGATCATATAAATGGTTATGATTTTATTAAGTAAATTTATACTTTCAATGTTGTAATGAATGTTTCATACCTACTACAGAAAAAAATATTAAAATTAGTAATCTAACCTACAAAAACCTTACATAAATGTATGAGTAAATGTAATAAAAAAAACTTAGTCACTAGTAGTATTATAGATACCACCATCCACAAATTTTTGTTTGTTACTACATCACCACAAAGTTTTTTATTTTTGTTTTATATTTTTTATTAAACTTGTATTAACCAAGTTTTGAATATAAATTATAATATTTTGTTTAATGTGTCTGACCACATGCAGTGCTAATTTTATTTGACTTTAATGCTTTAATGATAAACCCTAAACCCTGAGTTTAATATGTTTTATGTAGATAATATGTACTATTAATTAAATATTAAACTCAATTTTTCACTTTATATACCTATTGAATTTTTTTATACCCTTGAAATAGAATGTACCTAGTTATAAGTAAATACATTTTCATTGTTATATGTATTTATTATATTTACTAATCTAAGTACCTATTATATAAATTATTTTTAGATTAAGAGGATTAACTATTCAATAAGTATAAGTATTTTTTAGTTAAAAAATATTTGAGTTTTAGTTATTACTAGGCTTAGGGAATAATAGCTTCTAATATATTAATTTTTATTTGGATTGTTAAAAGAATAGCAGGGTCAAATAAAAATCCTATTTTAAGATAAACTGAATCTAAATCCAAAATTGTATTTTGTATAATATTTTAAAGTTTTTGCTTATTAGAGCATATTTACTCACTTCATAGCTTTTTAGTGCTTTTAGATTCTGAGTGGAACGATGAATGTATTGATTTTACAATGATGTGTGTTTTTATATTTTTTTTTGTTTTTTTTATTTTTTAATTTGCAAATTATTTTGAGTTAAGAATTAGTAAAAATTTTTCTTTTCAAGTCTAAGATTTGAAAATCTAATACAGGATTACTCATAAGATTGTCTACCTTTATCAATAAAAAAATCTCTACCGGAAAGTCAGATTAAATTTTTATGAGCGTTTGAAGTTTAAATTTTTACAACATTGGATATTCACTCGATTTCTCATGTAACGATTTTCTTATTTTGTTGTAATTCAAAAACGAATTACTGTAGATACATGAAATTTTCACTGAATGTTATATTAGCATTTCCTATACACCATACAATTTTGAAAATATTTTGACTCTTTTTGAGCCGTTTACAGACATTTTCAGTTTTCAATTTTTTTAGTTTTTTTTTTCTATAAATATCAATAAAGTTTTATCTGTTGGGCCAAAAAGTGTAAAAAATTAATACAAGGCTCCTGATATATTGTTACAATATCAGTTGAAAAATATTAAAAATACATAGGCACAATTTTTTTTTACAAGCATTTAAACATCGAAATTTGACAGAATTTTTCAAAATCTCGAAAATTATTAACCATCCTAATTAATAAATTATAAAATGTTCAGTTTTTATAGCTAAGGATTGAAAATTTAAAACAAGATTCCACGGAAGTAGTTAATTCTCTTACCGAAAAATCTAAAAAATATACAATCACAGTTTATTTTTATAGTCATTTTATGTTCAAATTTGGACGAAATTACATATTAAAAATCCTAGTTATTTTGTTGTGATTATATAATATTATTCGTGGGTACCTACTTGAAACTTCTCAAGTGTACTATTATATATCTATGATAGTATCAGGGTTTGTTATTGATGTTGATGTATAACGTGTTATAAGTACCTAATGGATATTGTGATAATGTGATATGATTAATTTGGAATTTAATATTTATTATAGGTCAATTTTTTTTTTAATACCATAGATATGTATATAATTTGTCTTAAACCTAGACTGACATACCGTCTTCGCTCAGAATCGTTTTTCTTATACAATGATATTGTATCATTGAATTCAAATTTAATAGCATCCATTATACAGTGACCCACTTGTAACCTACTGTACAGCAGAGCGACATCCACTTACCCACCTTTTTTTTATTTAACTTTACTACAAAAACAGAATCAAATTTCTTATATGTGTTATCATGCATTGTATAAATATTGTATGTTTTTCCACTCAATATTCTTTGCGCTCCTTGCCTCTGAAATATTTCTTTATAGTTTATATTAAACTAATATATGATTTTATTGTTATTAAAGGATGACATTGATATGGAAGCAATATTATAATATAGCTATAACAAAAATTAATAATACAAGTAAAAATAAATTACAAATTTCAATAGTTCCGTCAAACTTTTTTTTTTAGTACTTAATAATATTATATAGTATTTTTTTGGTACACATCTACATGAATATGATTTTTATAGAGCTATCAGTTCCTAAGCCTAGTTTTTATGTTTATTTAAAAATAATTTTCTTTATTCTGTAAATGTATTTTATGTAAGTAATGTAATTTTAATTGTTAAATATTTATGTTTAGTAACGACTAAAGCCTAAACCAAAGTACTGGGTACTGGAAATAAACATGTGCTGTAATTCAACAGTGTCTGACAATTTGTCTAATTTTATTTAAAATGTAATTATTGTACTTCCAAAGTTATAAAATATATAATTGATAACTGCATTTAAGCATTGTTGTTTGTTACAATATGTAGTGTTACGAATATGAGCCTGTTATTATTTTTATCAAAACAACTAATAACTTATCCACATTATTTATTGTTAATTGTTAAACATTTTTTTGATCTCTTTTTGAGTTTTTCTTTTTGCAAACATAACATAAGATAATGTATATTGTATACAGTTTGTTCCAAAAGTTTACAAATGACCCCCGTGGCAAATCAATATATCTAAATGTGGTTTTTTCAATATTTATCTCAAAGAAAGATACAGATATGCTATTAAATTGGAGTTTTTCATACATAATTTTTGAGAAATCCACAATAAAATATACTGATATGTGGCCGTCTCAGATATATTTATGGTGATACGTTCTGGTATACTATAGGGGTACACTTAATATTTACTAGCATTAGAGCATAATAATATAATCAATTACATACCAAACTGTCATATACAACGTATCAAATAAACATATCTAACCATTATTCATATAAAACTTTTTAAAAGTAATGAGTATGAAGGTATAATAATATATATATATTTTTTTTATATATATAATTAATATATTTAATATACAAAAAAATATCCACTAAAACGTCTAAAGATTTTGAATTCATACTTCCTCAATCAGCATTTAAGTCATGATTTAAGTGTTTTCAGGCAATGAAATGCCATTGATAATGCTCCACTTGGCATGCTTTAATTGTATCTAATGAAAAAAAAATGTGTGGCATCTCTCTGAAGAAGATTAGTCAACTATAGAATATTCGAATTGTTTAATTTTCAAAGTAATAATATGTCTGCTGAATTAGTATGTTCAACTATTTAAGGTACCTATACTTCAAAAGTTATTACCTATTTAATAATAATAATAAAAAGTAAAATTGTACTAATAACTAATAAAATTATATTGTATAACATTAATGCAACTCTTATATATTATAATATTTAGGATGTA